GCTGCAGACAAATAGACTTGTTCTGAAAGTAATTATCCCCAAATCCATCAAATGTTCTTCGTTGTTGACTTGTCAAAGAATATTGATAGATTGGGTCCAAAGTAAAATTCAAATGAGTGATCACTTTAGAATTCTTTAGGCTATAATAAACAAAAAGAATATTTTCTCAAAAAAAAAAAAAAAAAAAAAAAAAAATTGCATTAGCACAAATTAGAAGGTGCTTTGTGTGTGTTTTAAAGCAGATGATCAAATTTGAGATGTTCTATAAATTTCATATGACATCATGCAGATATTGGCTGAGTCCCTATAAAAAAGTATCTTAAAATATGTGCAGAATAAATATCTTGTAATAAAATCTTTAGTAAATCAATTATTAGGAGCAAAAAAAAAAAAAAAAAAAAAATCAATTATGACCTTCAAAATTGCAGTTGCATTTCTATTCAGTTTGTTTAAAAATAATTATTGTTCGGGAATTGAAAATAATTAAAAAGTAATTTAATTTTTAAAATATGCATTATAAACTTTCAACAGCTTCTGACAATGCCATTTATGCTTCTTGCTCCCAAAGTCAATTTCTGTTACCAATGAACTCAGAAATTCTACAGGTGCCTGGTTATTAACCCCTTAAGGTCAGAAGTGCCCAAATGCAAGTTTTATATGCTTACAATCTGGAAGCACCTGAATGTATCTGGAATCAGGTATTTCAATACACAGCATTAACACCAATCAACTAGAGGTGCTAAGAATCTATGACTTTTACAAAGTTGAAGATTTCCAAAACCATACCTCATAACCAGTAATAACAAGGAGGCTAAATTTGAGAGAGAGAGAGAGAGAGAGAGAGAGAGAGAGAGAGAGAGAGAGAGAGAGAGATCAAATATATCAAGAATTTGAATTTGTTGACTACCCAGTTCATTCATGTTTACTTGAAAATGATTAAATCCAATACCTTGAAGAGTCAATGAGTTTGAATCTCAATATAAGGTTATTTTTTGGTTACCACTATGAATTGAGGAATCTTCCATTTACAATGAACTCGGAATTGAATAATGCTTATTGTATGAGAATTGATCTGAAAGTAATACCTCCAAAAGTGCTTTGTAGAACAGGAATCTCACCAATAAGACCAAGATCACCATCTACAGAGCACTATGTATTTCAATGCTTCTATATAGCAGTAAATCCTGGATTCCATTGATTTGTGAATTCCATAAATAATTTCAGCTGTCCTGGTTACAAAGAATCCTCATGTTACACTGGTGGGATGAAGGACTGCATGTTTAAATTTGGAATAGTACACAATCAACAGCCATTGAAGCCATATTTCTTGATTGTCAGTTATGTTGGCTAGGCCATGTCACCCATATGGCTGAGAATCAACTCTCACAACATTCTTTCTTTGGTAAATGGAGTCAGCCAAAAGGGCTGTTGGTGGTTAATATAAGTGATACAGAGACCCAATCAGGGTCATCTTTGAAGACCTGTAATATCTTCCATAACCAATTAGAAAGGTTTGTTGGTGAATGGGCTAGTTAGAAACATGTTTGCATGGATGCTATTCAAACCAGAGAAGTAAGGTTGGTCTAGCAGGTAGAGGAATATCATCAAAGATATCATACATGGAATTCTTCATCTATCATCCAAGATCATTTTGGATACCCTATTTGTGGAAAGATGTGCTGTTTTCATGTTGGTCTAATGAGTCATAGAAGAACCCATCCACCATGAGATGAACCAGATGACTTCATCTGAATAATATGTCTAAAATAACAAAAGCTTCTAATTTTATTATATTGGTCCACATCAGAAGAAAATGTTGACAATATGGCAAGTGAGGTCAAATCTACCTGCTAATAACCCATAATTTATTTTTATTTTGTTATAGATAGCAGTCTGGTCAAATGACAGCTGACATGAAAGCAGGGGTATGCCATTGAATTTCAACATGTGGAAAATTCAACTTTCAAGACTTTCTGAATATTTATAGAGACAAACAGTGGATATGAGCATAGTTAGGCAGTAGGTAATGTGTTACAATAATGAAACATTTAGGTGTGTGACAAACCCTATTCTTAGTAACATGTAGACTCTTGTCATGCTCTATGAATGTGAATCTAGACATTACACTGGCAAAGCTATCCACAACATCAACATTGTTTAGGACTGGAGTCAGTTTCAGAACATACTACGCTTCATTGGTTCAAAGCATTTGCTTCTGGTGATCTGAACCTCAGAGATGAGCTTGGCTTTCGTTGTAAATCAATAAAAAAGCATAGTTGCTGAGGATTATCCAGAAATAAAACTTAGGTATCAGGAGCAGAGATGAGAGTAGCCCAGACAACAATTAAAAGATATTTGGTACAAATTAGTACAGTGAAGAAAAATTAGAAGTAGGTAACCTATGATGTCACTGATGGTCAGCAGTTTCCAATTTGCTTGTTCATCTTAACAAAAAAAAAACCTACTGTCACTGAAAAAGGGTTTCTGTGATAATTGGATCAGTGACTTTCTTTGATTTGATGAACTTGCATCCAATTTAACACTCCCAAAACAAAATCTTCATCAAAAGAAAATCCTTCTGTTTACTGGAGTAATCTATTTCATCTTCAGGTATTTTAGTCTACCTGGTCTGACCATAAAAGAAAAATTCTATTGTTGGGATGTATGAAAAGTTTTAAACATTTTGGCAAACAGTGATTACTACTGAAAGAGGCTTAATCCATTGCCAGATAATGCAAGATCTTGTATTACTTCACAAACTTCCCAGTAAAAACTTATGCAATTAGCTATCTATGTCCTCTACAACCATACCTATTCAATGGACCTATCTCCTACCAATTACTGTTTTATTTTCAGGCTTTAGATGTATTATACAAAGGGGAGATAAGACACCTATTATTCTTCTACTTTTATGTGCCATGTCCAAGATATAGGTGATCATAGCTCTCTACATCTTCCAGTTCATTGTAGTTCTTAATAATTTTTGTCTTTTTGTTATTCCTCCCAAGCCCTGTTCTACTATTTATTTACTCAAGCCATCACTGCTTTCCTCTGTCCTAATTTCCCTCTGTCTTGGGAGCATCAGATTTTCCAGGCCTTCCTTCCTCATTATATGCCCCAGAATTTTCAACTGTTGCTTCCTGATGTTAAGTATAAGTTTCTTTTTTGCTTCCATTCTCTCCAAAACCTTGTCATTGCTCACATGTTCAACCCATGGTATCCTTAGCATCCTTCTGTAGTACATTTCTGTTGCTTCAAGTCTCTTCATCTTCAAGGAGATGATCCAGTGCCACCTCAGAAAGCTATAATCTGGGAATGGGCATGAAATCAGGTATAGTCGATAATTTGTAGAGGGAATCTCCTTCCCCTCTACATGTTATCAACTATACCTGATTTCATTAAACACTGTAGAATGAAGTCAGAAGGACAGAGTGCAACACAGGAAAATAAGGAACATGAAAGAATCAGTGCACATACTATGCTCTAATAACCTCCACAGTAGGCTCAGCAGAGAAATGGATATGCTATGGGAGCCCTTAATTAAGAAAAGAAAACTAAAAGATTCCACTACCTAATTACATGAGAGGTTTATACTCCAGTTCAGTAGACGTTTAAAGCTCCATGTTTTCCACAGTGGAATTGGTTAAGCAAATTGGGTTACCTGGCAGTTGTGAGTTCAAACACTAGGTAGGGTAGTGAGAAAAAGTCACATACTCAGAGACAAACAATATTAGAAAGATGAAATACGAAACATTCTCTAACATGGACATTAAGGTGAAAACAATCTACCCTTGTGGTTTCAATAAAGTGACAGGTTAAAAATTCATAGGAAGTTATCAACTATGATAGCCATCTCTTTGAAGACTGATGAGTATAACAGCTGAAAGAAAATTTAATAACAAATAAGTAGACTGATCTGAACAGATTTGTTTTTCCTTTGTCTTAGCAATTGCTGCTTATACTTTAGATTTTAGCATATTACAGATCTTTCCATGATATTCTGTGCTGATTGTTTTTTGCTCTGTTACAGAATCTTTTCATTCCTGTTATCATCATTCACTCTTTGGATTTCATTCAGCTTGACAAAGAACAGGTTTTCCTATTCTGCTTTTTGTGCACACTTTCTTTATCCATTTTCCAGTCTCTGCACATTTTCCATTTAGCCATAACTGTTTTTCTCGTTTGTACTTATCTGATTTTGTTCTGTCTTATGCACTTAGCACTATTTCTTTGAATGGTTTCCTGCCTCTCCTTCATGAAGTCAAGAATTTCACTTGTTATTCACTTCTTTTTCTCTTGTCTTTCCTTCTTCAAGATGAGGACTTTGGCTGTTTTCACTAGTAGTTCCCTTAAAGTGATTCACTTTAAATCTCTGTCAGGTTTCAAAGCTTCATGTTTGTTCTGAACTTTCAATATGCTTGTTTGCAAATGGAGTTGCTGTGGAGCTTTTCACACTGGAGTTTAGACATTGCTTTGGCTTTCTGTAATTTTTGGAGTCTTACAAGTAGTTTATATGTAACTGGAAATTAATGACTAGCAATCAGCATTTGGGTATTATTTTAAATGTGAAATTGCATTTTTAAAATCATTTGTTGGTAAGCAAGTTGTCTGTCTGGTTCTTTATCTCTTCAAGGTTTTTTCCAATCTTACAAGCATCTTGGATGGTCTGCAAACCAAGTACTGGTTTTTCATCTATGCTCATTGTACGATCCCTATTTGTCAACCATTTTGTCATTCTGTTCCATTCCAACCTTTGCATTTTTATCCCCTATGAGGATTTCTTCTAACTTGTTCTGTAATTTGACATTTTTTCATGTTATAAAATTATTTCTTTTACAGTGCTTTCTGATATGAGTAAATCTATCACAATAATGTACATTTTAAATCAATTCTTTTAATTTTTTTTTTAAAAAAACAAATAGTATTTTCCATTACCCTAAAATGTATTTCCTCTTGTTTTTGCATGATATAGTATCTCCTCTTTCATATAAAACCCGACTTATGTCCATATCATGTTGAAACACCAGTTCTTGTATGATCATTGAAGTTAAGCAACATCAAGCCTGGTCAGTACCCAGATGGGTGAGCACTTGGGAATACTAGGAGGTGTAGTAGATAACAGCTTGGAATTGGAAATCAGAGAGCCTAATTCAAATTCCACATGGGTTCATTATATTCACTTATGCACAAATACTCTCGGAAAAGGTAAGAATCCACATCATCTTCCCTATCTATGGGTTAATTAGTAGAACTAATAAATCATTATTATCTCTAAAAAATTCTTACAATTTAAAAATTATTTTCTGGCTTTAAATCACCAAAAAATGGTTGATAAGCCATAAAAAATTCAAATCAATCATATAAAACTCTTGCATCTTTCAATTATACTTCAGTTTACTTTTTGGTTTTGTAATTTAATCTCCTTTGGGAGGTTTTAAAAATTGCAAGTTATAAAAGATCTTGAAGAGAAAAAAATTTCTTGAAGTTGATTTTTTGTTAGAATAAACAGAATCTCAAATTTGGGAAGTTTTGATATATATATACAGGAGTTGTGAATATTTTATATAGCCAATTTCTCTGATAAAGATAATTTGGAGAAGTTATACTGCCATACCATTTTCTTTAAAAGGATTTAATGCTGCACAAGACTGCTGGCCACTTGACACATCCCCTTTGCAAGTAAATTGTTACTGACTATTTTCTTTAGTCAGGATCAATACCTCCTGTCACAATGCCAGTGTCATCAGGTATAAATTTATCTTTCAGAATTCACCTTATACAATCACCTGATCCCAATGTATTTGCAAGATGAGAAGAAAGAGGGTAATTAGAATCAAAATTTACCACCACATAATTTGCATTGACAGGAATATCCTGTGTCAGGCTGGACCATCATCCTTTCTATGAGTATCTGACACTTCAACACAAAAGCAGTGATAAATCTCAAGTTAATACAGAAGGAAGAATCCTCAGTTCATAAAGGTAACCAAATAATCCTATATTTAAACTCAGACTCATTGGCAGATACTATGGTTAATAATATCAAGATATTAAACTAATCCTAACTAATACAGAATCAAGATGTTTAGCTAATCCTTATGTAAAACTTGAATGAAGATTTGAGCTTATATAGTATGAGGTAAAGTAATAATTAACTTCCATTTCTGGAACAAATTGTAACAATGAATGTATCAACCTAACTGTTCCTTAAATATATCATAAGAGGTGATAAAAATGACTTAAATATGAAAATGTTCAATGCAAAAGGTAGTGGACCAAGAAAAATCTCTACAACTGTCACCAAAAGCTAAGCTGTATGGAAGAAAACGTAATGTTGTGTATGTGGTGGAATCACCCAGCATATTATTTATTTAGCATTCTGAAAATGCAATGAAACACTAGATGCACATTTATATGCCCAGCAGCTGCAAGGTGTCCATAAAAGTTCAATTCAAAAGCAGCCTGTTCTCATCAAGAGACAGTAATTTGCTAAGTGTAGAACACTTTGGTACAAGCCTCAACTTACCACATATGTGTGTGTGTGTGTGTGTAAAAACAGTAGCAGTATGAAGGTAAAGAGTTTTTTCCCCCTCCCTGTATTATGTTCTGGACAGATTTTCAATTCTGTGAAAATACTTATTCACTTATAAAATCCAAGAAATTTGTGTCCTCAGCACTAAGTAGAGGAACAAGATGGGAAGTCACATTATCACAGAAGCTAATTCGCCGAAAATGAAACCTTCACCAATAATATCTCTAAAATTCGATTGGAACACATACTGGTTATAACATGAGTAATACCAGAAGGTGCAGAGATTTAGATTTGCCATCCCAACCTATCAAGTCCTAGAAGCAGATCACATATATAATAAATGGAAATAAGACACAAACATGCACACTACTGACCTGTTTGGTATATGTAAACCTTAGGTAAATATTTTGAAAAATTTTCAGTGAGTATTTACATACACAAATCCACTTCTGCATTCAATGATTTGAAATGCTACCCACAAAAGATCCAAGATTCAATCATAAGTACCGTTACAAATGATTTACCATGTGTTTACTCCATTATTTCTGAATTGACAAATATTTAAATCTCTGAAACAATATCAGCAATACTTAATGAAAATATAAGCAAATCCAGGATTCTCATCAGGGGAAAAAGTGATATTGGTGGATCCTAAATCTTCTTCAAACCATCACTTGGAAGCTAGCTATCAAGCCACAGCTCATCCACCCTCATCACAAGGATGAAGCAATTGGTCACTTGAAGGTTTGTTATCAAGATGACTTTATCACAGAGTGATCCTTCTTGACAGATTGTGAACCAAGGTTAAATATTGCTCTTTCTTAGGAAAAGTATGAATCCATCTCTTCCCCTCAACTGTGGGTTAAATAGCATAGCAGACTGGACTCTCTAGCCATGATTAGCAACCAGTCTCAGAGAGTGATGACTTTATATTCAAAACTATAACAACTGTTCATGATTCCTGACTCTCAGCAATGAAGATGCAAAGAAGCAAAACGATTTGTAAAAGACTTCAAAATATTAAAAAAAAAAAAAAAAAAAAGTTTATAACAGGAAAACAAATGAATAAAACTTCTATGCCTATAGCTAAAGTCATGCATATGTTTAGATATTGACTAAGCTTAGTCTGGCATATGGTCATAATAATAGGAGCTATAAGTGTGAATTTAATTCAAATATTGATAATTTCATAAAATGAAGCTTCTTAAGCATTTTTACAGGTGTGCAGGCACGTATCATTTATTACTAGATACTGAAGTCACAGGAGGTGTTGAAAAGTTTTTGGCCCAACCCATTTCCCAAATACCAGAAATTTTTTTGAATTTGTTTTTGGTTGCATTGAGAACTTTCTAAGATTTCCTTGTAAGTCTTATCGATCTGTTTTATTTATCATGTTTCAATAAATGTGGTTAACAAGAGAATGGCCATCATTAGAATATCTTAGCTAACCTTTTTCAATGAATCAGACAAACACACACAAACACAAAAAGCAAAACAAACAACCCATAGCAACTGAACAAATTCACATTTTGTTAATGGAGGAATGTGGATCAGTCATGTTACAGTTTTAGTAAGAACAAGATGAGAAATTAAGTAAATTAATTCAACAACCTTGCCTCTCATTCTCATAACCATCTTATTGCATTCTGATTACTACCACTACCTGGTGAAAGAAAAGCAATTTTTATTGAGTGCGTCAAAGCCCGAGGCAGTAAGCGCTGAACTTGTGTTCATCTACAAGCACTATTAATTTCAAGAGAGTTTTTTCATGTATACGTGTGTAAGCATGTGTGTACAGTGTTTTTATTAGAGTAAAATGAAAAAAAAATGCTTACAACCAAATCAAGAGTGGACAAGTACATTATATAAAAGTTTACTTGCATCAATGAAACAATGTGTGTGTATGTGTGTGTATATATTGCCACATTACTGAGGATAGGGGTGGGAGAGAACTGCTTGTGATAGAGGTAATTGGAGGAGGACTGTTTATAGTGATTGTGAGTGGTTCCATGAGAGATCAGTGGAATAGGAACAGATAAAAGAAACTGCAGGAAAGGGGAAATTAGTTGATCCTGAGCTTAATTTGGACCCATGTGATCAGAGTTTGCTTATCTGTGGCAGGAGGTGTTAGCTCTCATAGGTGTGACCTAGAGAGGGCACCTGCCAATTATGGCAAATTCATCCAGCTTGCTGACTTAAGTTGTGATCTGTGCCAGAAGGTATGCCAAAGTCAATCAGGGTTGACCTGACACATCAAAGAAAAGCATCAACATCAGGAACAGCAACAGTAGACGCACCAGCAGCAACTCCAAAACTTACAAACACATCAAACTGCTTACACTTGCCATCTCTATTAAAAGCATTGCAAGTCCCTCGCAGGATTTAAAAGACATTGCTACTCAGATAACAACTAAGAGATGATAATTCAAAATCAAAATAAAAGAAAGCGGACATAAATAAACAGATAGAAAAAAAAATAGTTAGCAATAGTCATGTTTGTCTGAGGAGTTCAACAGTCATCATATACATACACACACACCTATATATATATATATAGCTGCTACCTCCTGAAGAGTGAACGAACAGGTCCACCTGCAAAATTCTGGAGGCAGGATGGTGAAAGTAACCTCAATCAGCTAAGTGAGAAACTTTTACTCATATTAATCCTATGTATGTTTAAAAAAAAAAGGTTTTTTGTGATGCATTTCATTCATTAGGATTTCATTGGATGAAACATGTCACAAAAAAAAACTTTCCAGTTTGTCATATTTTCTAAATACTGTTTTATATATATATATATATATATATATATATATATATATATATATATATATATATATATATATATATATATATATATATATATAGATAGATAATAACCCGGATATAAGAGAGTTGTCGGGACGGAGAAAAATCTCTTATATCCGGGTTTGGTCTATTTTGTTTAGGTAAGTATGGGCTCTAATTTGGGACCAGAGAAAATCTCTCTTATATCCGGGTTACACTGTATATATAAATTTATAACATATGCATGTCATAAGATCACTGCAAAAGTTGCAATTTTGTTTTGACACTTCTGGTGTCTTATCAAGTGATAAGACACCAGAAGTGTCAAAACTAAAATAGCTACTTTTGTAGTAATTTTATAACATGCGTGTGTTATAAATTTGAATAAATATTATTAGCTCTACTCGGTACTGAGCACTCTTAAGAATAGTGTTTTTGGTTATTGGAATTTTATTCCATGTGTATCAACACTGGATAAATGAAACGGCCAAATATAAGCAGGCATGTATGCGGGTGCTGGTATGCATGCACAGGAAAAGATTTATCCTCAAAAACATTAACTAGGCCTACTGAATCAATGGACTGAACTAAGGATATCATGTAAACATAAGAAATTGTATATCTTAAAATATTGGAAACCTGACTAATTCCAGTTTCCCCCCATCACACCTACCTTATTAAAATATAGCCCCCCCCCAACCACACAATTTTTCCTATTTTTACCTTCAGCTATTTCTTAACCCCATCCTACATGTAGCGGCTTACCGACTATACAAACCCAACGTCTTCAAC